GGAAATATATCCTTGGTGGGGTCAGATTGCAGGTGGCTGCTAGGGATGGCTCGTGATAGGATGATGGCCTTGCTGCCTAGGCAAGCTATGAATTTAAAAGTCATTTATGTACCTCATCTCCTGTATTTCCATATATCTCATTTGTTCATGGATAGTCTCATTGGAAACATATACTTAAAACAAAAGATGCTGGAAATCACAGAGGGGCAAGCGGCATCAGTGAAGAGAGAGCAAGCTAACGTTTCGAGTCTAGATGATTCTTCGTCCAGCTCTGATGAAGAGTCATCTAGATTCAATATTAGTCTGGTATTTGTTCACAGATGCTGCTTGATCAACTGTGGTTTCCAGCATCTTTTGTTTTAAGTACATGTTTCCAATGAGACTATCCATAAGCAAACAAGAAATACGGAAATACAGGAGATGAGGTATGTTGTGATTTCCAGCAACTTTTGTCTTCAGTACAGATTCCAGTATCTGCAGTAATTTGCTCCCACATTGGAAATATGCTGCATTTAAATCCAGTGAAGGGATTTTGCCATTTTATGTTCACATCCTGGTGCTGTTCCTAGTCTGGCATTTACTGCAGTGACTGTTTGCTCCATTCTGATTCTGACATGCAGAATGATTAATTTTGTGATGCTTGATTTACCTAATGAGTATAAACATATCAGCAGTCAACAGATGATCATTGCTGAAATCATTAACAGTAAACTAACAGTTTGCATTTCAGTCCCCCTGTTTAATCCCACTGTGTTTGATTGGATTTTTTTAAAAGCACCTCATTAGCATTCAAAACAAAACTGTTGTAGTCAAAATGAAGAAATTTGTCATTTCCACCAAAGGGATGTGTGTACGGGGAAAGATTGTTAGTCTAATAGATGAGCCCATATTCTGATGTTTCCTCTGCACGATTTTTATGAAAATTTTTTGTCTTGGCATGTAGATGTCGCTGATATAGGCAGTACTTATTGCCCATCCCTAATTGCCCCAGAGAACGTGATGGTGAGCCATCTTTTTGAGCTACTGCAGACAGACCAAGTGGTGTGGATACAGTCTGTTGAGGCGGTTGTTCCAGAATTTTGACAGAGACACGGAAGGAATATCTGAGGAGATGAAAATGCAGAGCGAGGCAGTTATAAGATGGTGAATTGATAGTGTTGAAGAGAGAAGTCAAGAATATTTAAATAGGAGTGCAAAACCTGTGATCCACGTTCATGGCTACGGTTGAGAACAGAGTTTTGAGTCAAATAAAAACGAAATACTTTTGATGCTAGAGATCTGGAACAAACATTGAACTTCAGTTCTGAAGAAGAGTCAAACTGGACGCAACATCAACTGTTTGACTCTCCACATTTACTGTCAGACTTGTTGAGTTCCTTCAGTATTTTATGTATGTTTGAGTTTTTCGAGGAGTATTGAATGTCTAATCTTTAATTATGGGCGGATCTGAAACACACCAGATAGAATCACAGTTGGCATTCACAAGGAATAAATTAGAGCTAGAGACAATTGCTGCAAAACAAAATGTGGTTCAGAGTTCTGGTAGAACACTGAGCACATACACAATGCAAAATACAAATCAATGAAGGTGAATGTGAATGTCCAGTTTGGTCCCTATTATAGGAAGGATACTATTCAACTGGAGAGGGTGCAGAAGACATTTACCAGGATGTTGCTGGGCGTGGAAGGTTTGAGTTATAAGGAGAGGCTGGATAGACTTGGACTGTTTTCAGTAGAGTGTAGGAGGTTGAGAGGTGATCATATAGAGGTTTACAAAATAATGTGAGCTATAGACAAGGTGAATGCCAGGTGTCTTTTCCCCAGCATGGGGTATTTCAAGACTAGGGGGCATAATTTTAAGGTGGGAGGAGAATGATTTTAAAAAGACACGAGGGGCAGTTTTTTTATACAGTGGTTTGTGTGTGGAATGAACTTCCAGAGGAAGTGGTGGATGCAGATACACTTAGAATGTTTTAAGAGCCATTTAGATAAGTACATGAACAAGAAATGTTTGGAGGGATATGGGCCAAGTGCAGGCAGGTGAGACTAGTTTGGGATTCTCGTTGCGTGGACTGGTTGGACCGAAAGGTCTGTTTCCATGCTTATATGACTCTATGACTCTGACTCTGTAAAAAGGGAAAAAAGGTGACGGAGAGAATTAAGCAGAACTTCAAGTTGGCATTCCTGGAAGAGAAATGGCAGTAAACTGATCCAAAAGTTAAATGCTATAGATGTTGGAAAAATGCTGGAAACACCGAGCAGGTTTGGCAGCATTTGTGGAGAGAGAGAAACCAATTTGTGAACCGATTTTGGTTTGTTTTTTTTTCTTTATTCATTCATGGGATGAGGGGCTTTGCTGCTTGGGCCAGCATTTGTTGCTCATCCCTAATTGCCCAGAGGGCAGTTAAAAGTCAACCACATTGCTGTTGGTCTGGAGTCGCATGTAGGCCAGACCAGGTAAGGATGGCAGCTTCCTTCACTAAAGGACATTAGTGAACCAGATGGGTTTTTCTGACAATCGACAATGGATTCACGGTTATCGTTAGATTCTTAATTCCAGATATTTATTGAATTCAAATTCCACCATCTGCCGTGGAGGGATTCGAACCCAAGTTTCCCAATTAACAGTCCAGCGATATTACCACTAGGCTGTCGTCTCCCCTTACTTAACTCCTCTTCACAGTGCTAGGATATGTGAATGGACTGTAATTCAGAGCAAAAGTATTTGAATTGAAGAGAAAAGTTCAGCTGAATGAATCCTTAAAAATGCAATTGGTGAGTATGACGATAAACTAAGGTAGCCAAATTCCTCTTTCAAGGTAGTTCGTATACTTGCAGAAGACTAGAATTCACTCATGGGAATACAAAGATGGAAAAATATTTTTGAGTTTTTTGTGACAATCCTTTGGAGAACAGTGAGTACTTACGTGGAACTTCGTCTCTTGAGATGGTCACTGTACTTGAGGAGGATTCATATGGCAGTATAGCTATGCCATACCTCCTTTATTTATATAAAATAAACATGCCCGAATCTTGGTCTAATTTCAGTTGATCAGTTAGCTTTAACCAGAATAAGTTGCTGAAAAAAGGTATTCTAGATCACTTTTACATGGCTGGAGGGCACAGTTTTAACATTGGGAACAGGAGGTTTAGATAGGATTTGAGAGACAAAAATTGACCCAGAAGGTAATAGACATTTGGAACTGACTGCCTAAAGTGTGGTCAGAGGCAGGAGCCATGAAGATGTTTAAGTAGTATTTAGATGAGCACTTGAAACACTATAGAATACAAGACTAAGCACCAAGTGTTGGAAAATGGAATTTCAATAGATAGATAGATACTTGATGACTGTAATGGATACAATGGGTCTAAGGTCCTTTTCCATGCTGTAAAAACTCTGACTCTCTATGACTCTTTATACTGACATGTCAACTTAAATTACATGCTCAAGTCCAAAGTGCACCATGAACTTGCAGTCTTCAGAATAATCCAGAACTGTAATCACTTTGGAGATTTCAGTAATCATAAGTTGGGAGTTACTCTGCATTTGTAGCACTTCCACTCCCAGTTTGAAAACTGATTCCCCAGTGTACATCCTTGTGTGATTCCTTTACTGATGCAGTTGTGACTTAGGCCCTGCTGAGTTTCTCCAGATTTCCAGCAGCTGCAATGTTTGGTTTTTGTATTAGTGTAGAGGGAATATTGCAAATAATTCAGCAAGCTGTATCATAACGTTGGGTGAGTTTTAACTATGCCAAGATAGACTGAAATGTACAGTGCCAAGGGACAGTGTTTTTAGGATATGTATCCAGGACTATGTCAAGTACAAGTCAAGAAGATGTATAGTTCATGTTAATTCAATTACATGAGGTCAATAATTGGTGTGAGAATAGGGATGGTTTGAGAAATAATGACTATACATTATTGGGTTCAATTTAAAACACAGGTGGATGCAGAAGAGTCAAAAATTAGGAATTCTGGTTGTTCAGAGGAATTTCAGTAAGAGAATAAGATCTGGCCTGAATTCTGAGCAAAAGTAGTTGTGTCTTCAAAATTGAGATGGATAATGTACAAAATAAGTATATTCCAGAAAGTGAAAAATAATTTATGAAAGATAGTTTATTTAGCCACAGAACACTACAAGAATGGTGTGATTTCATTTACCTTGGTTGTACAGGTATATACATATTTTGAATTTGGGCTGAGCAATCATAGTCTCAATCTGTGAATGAGACAGGGAGTAGATTTAGTAAAAGATATGACTGTAAAGAGCTCAGTAAGATCTATTTTTGTGGCAGTTTGAATTTTTGCAGTTTGTTTCAAAGTATGTGTTAATATATTTTAGGGACAGAATCAAAGAATAAGACTGTATAGAGAGTTTGTATAAGAATGATTGTGCAACAATATTGGGTGATTTTTACCTGTACATACAGCAGAATAAGGATATTACATGTTGCCCAAGTGGAAGTATTTGTTATAGAATCCATTGTTTCTTGGACGAACCTGTGGGTTAACATCCATAAGTCTGTGAAAATCTACAAAGCCACAAAGAATACCAGTAAGCATGATGGTATTTATTCATACGAGCAATGAGGCCAATGAGTGAAGAAAGTTAACTGCTTAGGCTGCAGGTACAGTGCTATGTGCATTTTTGTACTGTTACAGAAGGGACATGGCTGATCTGATTGCAGTTTCATCCATATTTCTGCAATCCCTGATAACATTTCATCCCCTTGCTTTACAAAGGATCTGTCCACCTCAGCCTTGATAGACCCTTATTCATAGACTCTGTTTTTTTCAGGCAGAGAATTCCAAAGAATCTAAAGGATACTCACTAGCATAATACGAAGGATAAGATTCAAGTGAAAGATTTGTAATTTTGTTTATTCTTGTTTTAATGGAGTACTGTTTCATCAACTTAAGATAAGGATCATATTACTGGTATGACATTAAACCATGTGAAAATGAATGCCCATTTTTGTTCTGTGCTTGAACTTCAGATGCTACCAGTGAATTGCATGTATCCAATTCCAGATTGAAGGATGTTGAAACAGCTTACTCAGCACAAAAGTCAGAGGTTTGTATATGAATGCTTTATACTACAAGTAGTGAACTGTTGAAACTTTAGACTCTACTTGGGTAGCTGTTTAAAATGACTCGTTTTCCATGTTTCTTGAAACATTGGCCATTCACTTTTTTTTGATTCTTTGATATCAGATTCCTTCCGTACATTAAATCCTGATTGAAATAAATTGAGATTGTCTTCTTTCAGGTTATCCATACGTGAGTGCAGTACCCTAAGGTTTTAGCACGATTGATCATGTTGAATGTAAGACTAGATTTAACAGTTAGACATAATTTGAAATTCTGTCATCCTTGGCGTGATTCTTCTGATCCTAGAATTTTCAATTCTTCAACTTTGTTATAGGTTAAGGTCTGTAAAACTGGAATAAATTGTTAACGATAATGTGATGTTTGTGGGAAAATTTGAGCACCAAGCAATGGGGTGCAGTAAACATATGGTAGAATCCATAATTTATAATAATACAGGCTGTAGCTGTAGAAGTCTATTCCATTAATTTTGTTGTAAGTTTTCCATTAAAACATACGTGAACAGTTGGGATGGAACTCTAGAACGATTTCAATGTGGAAATTGTCGAAATGGAGAATTGGAAAGACCTTAACATTGCTTTTCAGGTATAGTCCTGTCTGTCTTTCAGTGGAAACTGGATTCGTTGAAGAGCAATTATGTTCTTTAATAGTTTATCAGCTAGAATGTTAATTATTTCTCCAATGCAAGTTAGTCAAAGGCAAAAGTAGCTCCAGTGTATCAGCCATTACTGCATTTGAAAATATCTCATTATAAGATGAAACACAAGAAAAACTGCAGTGGCTAGGGGACCAAAATACAATGTATCCCTAAAAATTCATAACCTGTGGTGAACAGAATTTAGTTATAAAATAAATTTCAGTTGAGCAATTTAAAGTAAAAACTATCAAATTAAATATTCAGTCCATTTAAGTTACTGTACTCCTAATTCCTTCATAGTGAAGTCCATTCTGAATACACCAGTTCACTAAGCCAGAGTCAAGTACTCAGTGCAGGTCATTTGCCTAAATCCATTGAGTATTTCACTCTAGTTTCAGGACAGTGATATTGCATTGGAATGTAAAAGAATAAGAGTCCCGGAGAGGTGTCTTGCTCCACTTCAGAGTCAGCCAGGTCATCCCATCCCAATTTTTCCATTCGAAGACATCCCCTATGCAACAAAAATTTGGCTCTGCATTTATTGTAAATTTGTGGAGCGTGAACGCACGCAATATGGCAGCTGGATTTAAATCTGTTATGTGCACCCCTTATGGTTTGCTTTGGAGAAAACTCGTGCAGTATATTTTATGTGAATTAGAAACCCCTTTGTATATCTGCACATTTTCCTTTTTGTTAACCATTTTTAAATGCATTTGTTTTCCAATTCCAGTATGAACGGTTGAAGAAACTTTATTCTGATCTAGAAGAGAAAGAGGCAGCCGCAGAACTCCAGATAAAGCAGCTATCTTCGGAATACAGAAACCAGCTACAGCAGAAAGAAGTAGGTCAAAGGCTTGGTGCATTTTTATTCCTTTAACAATAGGGCTTTTTGTTTCAGGGCCAAATAAATTGTGAAGTGCCTTTTTAGATAAAGGCTACTGCAGCAATTTTAATTTTCTCCCAAGCTATTAGTTTGTCCTTTCTCATGAGTTTTTTTTTGTTGAAAGGGAGAATATTTTCTTTGTCGATACTGGTCTGGCCGTACTACTCATTGAAGTGATTATCTTTCGTGTGTGTGCATTGACAAATGAGTGTTGACAGGCTATTCGTTGACAAGAAGCATCATACAATTGCCTAATCCTGTCCTCTCGCAATGACTGGCTGTCCAGCGAAGGTTTCTCTCCAGCGATTGGTTCTGAGACGCTAACAGGATGTTTGCTTCTCCTTTCCCAGTTCAGCTGAAATAAGACCAGTTGTAGCATCCGAAGCAATTAGTTACATTAGCTAACTTAACACAAACCACAGATCCAACCTGAGGCCTTTCAGTGATTTGCTGATTAACAACCTAAATCACAACAGAATAAATGAAAATTTCTTTATTTTCCTTTCAATCTGAAATGAATAAAGAACCTGAGAATCATTTAATTTCATATTGTAGGTGTGTACATTGCTATTGCTAAAATAAGTTCCTCTCCCAGGGTTTGATTTCGAAATTTTTCCCAGAATGGTGAGGGAGGGAATTGCTGGGGCCTTCTACAAAATTTTCATATCCTGTTTAGTCACAGGTGAGATCCCACTGGAGAATAGCCAATGTTGTTCCTTCAATTAAGAAAGGTAACAGGGATAATCTGGGCAATTACAGGGGAGCGAGCCTTACGTTGTAGAGAAATTATAGGAGAAGATTCTTAGGAACAGGATTTACTCTCAGTTTGAAAAATTTGGATTTATCAGAGGTAGCCAACATGGCTCTGTGCGGGGAGAGGTCATGTTTCAAACTTGGTCGTGTTTATTTGAAGAACTGACGAAGATTATTGAAGGCAGGGCAGTGATGTTGTCCATATGAACTCTAACAAGGCTTTTGACATGGTCCCTCATGATAGGCTGATACAGAAGGTGAGATCTGCAGTGACCTGGCAAGATGGATACAGAACTGGCTTGATCGTAGAAGACAGGGTAGTAGTAGTAGTAGAAGGGTGTTTTTTAACTGGAGATCTGTGAGCAGTGGTGTTCCGCAGGGATCAGTGCTGGGACCCCTCTTGTATGTAATATATATGAATGATTTGGAGGGGAATTTAAGTGGTCTGATTACTAAGTTTGCAGGTGACACAAAGATTGGGGAGCTGCAGCTAATGAGGAGGATTACCAGAGGATACAGCAGGGTATAGATAGGCTGGAGACTTGGGTAGAGAAATGGCAGATGGAATTTAATCTGAGCAAATGCAAAGTGATGATTTTGGAACATTTATTGCAGGAGCAAAGTTTACAATAAATAGCAGATCTCTTAAAAACATCAAGATACAGAGGGATCTAAGCATACAAGTCCATAGAGTCAAAGAGGTCTACAGCACGGAAAAGTCCCTTCGCCTCAACCTGCCTATACCACCCAATTTTTACAATTAAACGAGTCCCATTTGTCTGTGTTTGGTTCATATCCCTCCATACCTATCCCATCTATGTACCTGACTAAATATTCCTTAAATCACAAAATTGTGCTGTCTTTCACCAATATCTCTGGTAGCCCGTTCCAGACACTCACCACTCTCTGTGGAAAAAATTGCCCCTCTGGACCCTTTGATATCTCTCCCTTCTCACCTTAAACATTTGCCCCCTAGTTTTAGACTCCTCTCCATGGGGAAAAGCTGTTGGCTGTTTACCTTATCTATGGCTTTCATGATTTTATAGACCTCTAAGTTGACCCCTCGATCTCCTATGCTTTAGGGGAAAAGTCCAAGCCTATCTGACCTCCCCTTCCACTCCAGGCAGCATACGAGTAAATCTTTTCTGCGCTCTTTCTAGTTTAATAATAATCTTTCTTTAGTAGGGCAACCAGAATTGCACATAGTACTCCAAATGTGGCCTCACCAAGCTGCAACAAGACAATCCATGTAGACAACGCCTACTGCTCTGCCTTCATCTATCTTCTTGGTTATGTCCTCAAAAACTCAAATCAAGTTTGTGAGATGTGATTTCACATGCACAAAGCCGTGTTGATTATGCCTAATCAGTCCTTGCCTCTTCAAATGTATGTAAATCCTGTCTCTCAGAATCCCCTCCCAACAACTTGACCGCCATTGAGCTCAGACTCACTAGTCTGTAATTCCTTGGCTTTTCCTTGCAGCCTTTCTTTTAAAAAAAACACAACATTATCCACCTGCCAGTCTTCTGGCATCTCAACAGTGGCTACAACTGATCTCCATAATTTCTTCCCTGGCTTCCCACAATGTCCTAGGATACATTTGAATGGTCCTGGGGATTTATCCACTGTTGTGCATTTTAAGACCTCCTGACGTGAGGTATAGAAAAGGTGTATCAGGATGTTGCTTGGTTTGGAGGGTATTAGCTATGAGGAGAGATTGGACAGACTTGTTTTCACTTCAACTTTGGAGGCTGAGAGCGCAACCTGATAGAAGTTTAAAAAATGATGAGAGGCATGGATAGATCAATAGACAGAGACTTTTCCAAGTGTAGAAATATCATTTACGACAACAAAAACAAAGTTGCTAGAAAAGCTCAGCAGGTCTGGCAGCATCTGTGAAGAAAAAAAATCAGAGTTAACGTTTCGGGTCCAGTGACCCTTCCTTGGAACTATCGTTTAGTAGGGGCGTAGATTTAACGTAAAAGGGGAAAGTTTAAAGGAAATGGGAGAGGCAGGTTTTTATTTTAGAGGGTGCCTGGAATGCACTGCCAGAAGAAGTGGTAGAAGCAGATACCGTAGCAGTGTTTAAGAAGGATTTTGATAGGCACATGAATAGGTTGTGAATAGAGGGACATGCTCTGCATAGAGGACAAAAGGATTTTAGTTTAGAAAAGCCATCATGCATCTGCACAGGCTTAATGGGTCGAAGAGCTTAATCCTCTGTTGTGGTGTTCTTTGACCTTTGGTCCAGTTTTCATTTCACAAATGACACTGTACTTTTTAAACAAAAACACAGTTGTATTATTTGAATCTGACCAACTGAAGTGGATTGTATCATAGATGTTCAGTGAAATTCTCAGGAGGAAGTGTACTGGATTTTAAATGCTGCTTCAAAACCATGTTCTGTGTATTTGAAGGAAGAGCACGCATTAGCTAGGAAATGGGAATGCATTCATAATTTATTGTATTTAAATAGGCAATTTGTCACCGTCACTAGATTTTAATTACCAAATTCATTTGTTGCTGCAAAGCCAAAGGCCAGTTTAAAGGCTCCACTTTCTCACCGGGTTGTAACTGAGTCAACCAGCATTTAACATGTTTCACCACTCATGGGTATATTTTGTAAGTATCATTCTAACTGTGCTCATGGCTAGCCCTCAGTATTTTTGGAACTCAGTAAGATTTTTATTAGATTTCTTAGCCACACAAAAATACCAAGTAGCGAATGGTGGGCCCAGTGAATGTGGTCCTTTTTATATTTTTCGATTGTTACTACATTTTTCAGTCTGGGCTTGAAATATGATTGATATTAAAGCTTCTAGACAACTGAACTGTGGATAGGAACTGCTTAGGTTTGATGTGCCACTGTGTATGGAACCAGACAGTATAGTTTTGCACTTTAGATCTGTCTACCAATTTCACATTTCCCAGCACTGAGAGGTGTCAAGTTGTGCTTTATCTGCTGGGGAGAAGGGTCATCCTGTCAGTTTCAGGACTGGTACAAGATGACACTGACCCCACAGAGGGTGCTCATCTCTGTTTTTGACTGCAGTGGATAAATATATTTCTCCCTTTTTAAAAACTAGGAAGTGTTACTTGCACAAAAATACCAAAAGTTGTCTGTTGATGTGGAAACTGGAACAGACAATGTGGTTAAATAGAAGTTGGATGGACACTTTGTGGAAATAAACTTGCAGGGCTGGGGGTTGAGTTATGGAAGGGGATTGACTGGATTGCCCATTAGGGAGCTGGCATAGATTTGATGGTTTGAATGGCCTCCTCTTGTGCTATACATGACTCTAAATGTTTGGAAAACCATGTTAAACCTCATATATTCTAATTTGTTGTGGCTTTAGTTCATTTAGAATTGAGTTTTAATTCACCTTAGTGGACATGACTGCTTCATTCGTCATTTTGTCCTTTTTCAAGGTTACAATAAGCCATTTGAAAGCCAGACAGAATTCCTTACAGGATCAAGTACAGAAGCTCCAATCTGCTGCTCAGTCATCGCAAGTTGCTGTTACCTCAAGTACAACCTCCACTGCCTTTCTGCCAGTAGATATGCCTCACACATCCACGTTCCATGGGGATACCATGGATTTTGGAGATGTAATCTGGTCCCAGCATGAAATTAACAGGCTTTCCAAAGAGGTCTCCAGGTTGGAATCTGATGTTGCCCATTGGAAAGTGCTAGCCCAGGTCAGTGGATGACTTCATTTAGGTAATAAAACATAAAATGGTATACTTGGATAGTTGTTGTAGTTTTTAGATTTTCCGTATTATTTTGCCTCATTAATCTGTACAGTCAGTATACTTGAATGCCAGTGATCAGACAGCTTGAGTTCTGAATGTTTTGTATTGTATCAAATTGTAACCCACTATTCAGTGCATAGGATCATTGTTCGTAAGTGCTGTTTCATACCGATTAAGCAGGACCAGTGCATGACAACTCCAGTCAACAGATTTGGAAGTAGTTTATATTTAGCATCCTACTTGATAGAAATTAATCACTTACGTAGGGATACAAAGACTTAAAATATCCTCAGGACCATTTTACAGAAGTGAAAGTATATATATTTTATGCAGTAAACATACAAGAATTTGAATGATTCTGTTGAAAAAGAGGTATTGACACTCTTTCCAAAATCATTACATGTACTTGATTTAGCATTGTATAACAACGTTATTGTGGTAGTCCTTTTTTTGTGACTGTTGTATTTGGTAGGAATAAATAATGAAGATTTTGGCATGAATAATGCTCATGATTTTCTATTCAATTGTGATTTTGTTTGCTTTTACATATTGAAAGTTTTGTATTTGGTTGTTCACCTCCCTTGAAAGAGACAAAAACAAAGTTGCTGGAAAAGCTCAGCAGGTCTGGCAGCATCTGTGAAGGAAAAGACAGAGTTAACGTTTTGGGTTCGGTGACCCTTAGTTCTGAGGAAGGGTCACCGGACCCGAAACATTAACTCTGTTTTTTCCTTCACAGATGCTGCCAGAC